CCCCCCCCCCCCCCCCCCAACACTTCCCGTACTATGTAATCCAAGGAGAGAGAATGAAGGTGAGAGGGAGAGGAGGGGGATAGGGAGCTTCCTCACAGTGTGCATCTTTCTTTTTTCTTCTTCTCGTCCTTTTGTAATTACTCTTTTTCTTGAGAACTTTGGCTGGTCGAGAGTCCAGAAATTCCACACAACGGGATTTCTGCTGTCTCTCGTGGCTGAGGAGTAATAAAGGAAAGAGGAGGTTCTAGTGATTCGAGAATTCTTTGTCAACCCCGTTCCCTCTCCGTGTAAGCGTACATACATGCGACAAACGCTCGGATTAATACCGCGTCGGTTTAATTTCCTCATAGGCCCAATGCGTTGACCAATCTGCACAATGCGACTTGATAGAACAATTTCGTTTCGAGGCTAACAGGAAGACGCGCGCTCTCGATAAATTTCTCCGGCATCGATCACTTCCGATTACTAAATATTTGCAATAAGCAATGAACAGTTAGGCATTAGATTGCAAATAGTTAGAGCTATGAGAACGTACGATATATCGTTACAACATTAAAATGTAATACTATTACGTAACAATATAATACAACAATGCGCTGTGCACGAACTGAATACGTTATACGTAAACTAAATACATTTGTTAAATTGAGATTGTTATATTAATTCAATAATCGTTAACACTGTGTAAATGTCCAGGAACAAAATTCAGTCAGCGATTTTGCGTTAAAACGAAATTCTGTGTTGCTTTAACTTTGAGTACGTGTTCTTACATAATATTGTCGTTACTCCTCAACGCATTCATCCTGTGTTAAATTAATTGTGTCAAATTATGTTAAATTAGCAAACATTTGGGCGAACCATTTAAGGCATGTGAAATGTGTTAACTTTGGCACAAAATTGTTTACTGTGTGTACGAGCTGAGAATACCCGAGCCGGCGACAATACCGGACGGCGATTAATTGCATTCTTGAAGAGCCCAAGTTGTTGGAACAGTCGGTCGTATTGTCAACCGCGCCATCGTCAGCGGGTTTGAAAACGAATTCCACCGACACTTCCAGCCCCGGCCAGCCTCTGTCAGGCCGGCCTGGCTGTTTTGCTGCGGACGCATTCCGGTGTCGAAATATCCGGCCGATCCGACACCAGAGACGACGCGGCGATCATCGATAAAAATGGCTGTCTCGTTGCGGAACCGGCAAACAAAACGGCCGTATGTGCGAGCGAGCGAACGTCCGTCTGTATTTCCCCGTGGCAGCGATTCAGAGGGCGAGTCGCGCGCCGGACGTTCCTGCGGCCCAACGTTGAGCTGAGCTTTTCAAGACTGCGGGCAGCCCGGAATTCCCCGCGCGCGCACGGAAGATGGATAGACGGATAAGCAGGGGGTGAATACTTCGAGAGCGAGAATTCGAGCGAGTGCCCAAAATCGCATCACCACGGTGTTCAAATTCAAACTCAGCCAGCTCGAGTCTCCGACTGTCCGCGAGACGAGCGGTGTGGTAGGGCATCCTAGTTGCCTTGTTATAGTTCTTTCGGTTGTCACTTACAAATTGAACCAGGGGAAAGGGGAGGGTGTCGGAATATCATCTTAGACCGTGCAAAATTACAACGCGCATTCGTTACGATGTGTAGCTGCAACTGCATCGGTTAATATAAATATATGTTAAAAATTCACCAATATAATGTTAAATTAGCATATTCACCTTATCAACATATGTTTCTCACAAGGTGAGCGAGTTTGACACATAACACGTGTTAACCCCCCGTTATATCGCATATCTAATGTTTAAGTCGTATATCTAATAAATACGTCCAGACAACAACGTTGTTATTCGGCCGAATTCGTCCTTGTCAATATTTGTTTTTGTCTTCTTTATTCTTCACTGTTTTTATGTACTTCAGTGCCTGGTCTATTAGCCAAATACTAGCGAAAGAAAAATGATCTCAAGAAGTAGGTGAAGAAATGAGTGTATGTGTGAGGCACATTGCGACCATTCGTGGGTGAAAAATATTTCGATCAACGAAGGGTTAAAGTAACACAGAATTTCAGTGGATCGTTTCCAACACGAAGTTCTTTATTATATCGGAATCATTGTGTTTCACTGAGAGCGTTCCGCTGCACTTTTCTTGAGTCTGTGATAATTTTCATATTACGCCAATTAAATAAATGACAATTTTAATATTATATTATTAAATATAATATCATATTTTAATATTATATTTTAGACTTTCGCAGTTTGGGCAAATATTCAGTTTGGTTTTCGAGTCAGCATCGCGTCCTTCGTGGATTTACGCCCGAGGATTCGTAAATATTTCAGTTCATTTCTTCGGAGTGAGGAACGACCCGAAACTGCGAGCCCAATTTTGCGTTGGGCACCCTCGCGTGGCGAGTAATTACTCGCTAAATGTTGCGGATAAAGCCCAAGAATTGGTGTGAGAAGACGACCTCCCAAGAAGATCAAAGCATCGCTCCCTCCTCGCCCGCTTGATCCTATGCTCGTAGCCCATTAGATCGGCCTGTATGACGGTGTGATGTGATCCAATAAAACGCCATTCGGCCGAATAGCGGCAGCTCGGGTTGGATATTGCGAGCGAAGAATTCTGCTAGGAATTCGCGCCGTGCGTGTCATTCGGACTGTTATCTTTAATCGCGAAATTCGTAGTGCGGCGAGCCGTGGACGAGATTGAAGTTATCTCGCAGGAATCGCTCGATATCCGCGCCATCCGCCGTGTTCGAGCTGCGAATTGCGTCTTTTATTTGTCCAATAAAGCCTCCCCCGTGAGCGTCGCCGCGGACATTATTTCGAACTGCTCTCTCTCTCTCTCCCTCTCGCGCGCTTACACGCTAAAGCGAACGTGTAATCTGCCTATGATATACGGCACGGTATAATAAGGGGAAAATACACAACTGTGCCACACCCTGTATAACTATCATTAACGAACGATAGCAGGCACGTAGCCGTGCTAATTAAGCCCGATCCGGAACACGGCTCGGTTTCAGCGAAACGAGTCACCGTAAAATCGCGCGAGGACGGCCGCGCCGGCGCGACGATTTTCACGGTTTCCGCGCCGCGACGAGCGATTTCCGCGTCCGCGAGCTCTAATCAAACCCGACGCGACGGCAACGGCGGCAGAGAGAGAGAGAGGGGGTGGGGGGGGAAAGGGCGTTCGTTAAAATCTCGACGCGCGCTCGGGATCCGCGCCAATCCCGGACGAATCGCCAAGAGCTACCGTAATTTCGGTGTCGTCTCGCGGATTTCCCCGGGAGCCCACGGGAAATTACAAATTACGCGTTTTTCAATCAAAAAAACGGTGAGTCGCGTCCGCCGGGAAATGCTGGCGCGACGCGAAAATTTCGGATCAACGGCGCGTCCTCGATCGCGATCGGAAAATCCACCGGGAGAGATAGAGCGAGCGATAGAACGAGGAATAGAGAGAGAGAGAGAGAGGGGGGAAAGGAGAGAAAAAGAGAATGCAATTTAAAACGATTGCGTCGCGCGGAAAAATATTTGCCTGGTGCAAAACAATTCCCGTTGCGCGAGAAAATATTTACCTTGCATTAGAACGATTTCGCGGTGGACGAATGTTTTAGCGTTTTCGAGGGGGATCGAGTTGCGCGCAGCTTTTAAACGCGGAGGCAGGATATTTTACGCGTAATATAAATTTCGTTGCGCGTAACAGATACATGTCCCTAGGCACGCACGCACGCATGCACACGGTGCGCGAACACTTTTCGCAGGGCGTATTTATTACAAAAAAAAAAAAAGAGCGCGCGCGTTTGTGCTGTAAGCAAACACCACCCACTTACTACGACGTGGCGCGGATCCCGTTTTAATCCCGCAACGAATGCCGCTCCATTTTCCAAATTTCCCACCGAACAGCGCTAACTTTTCGTGCGTGAGCACGACGCGTCGTCGCACACGGCGGATGAAGTGAATTACGCGCGGCGTAGAAACCCGCAAGAAACCCGCCACCGACGCCTAATGCGGGACGAGCGGGGGAAAAGGAGGAACGCTCCGGAAAATTCGGTGTTGCTGAGCGCGTTTCCACAATTCGGGCCACCCCGTACATGTCTCTTCGAAGTCATTACCGACGTGTCAGTGTCAGACGAGACCGGCCCCTCCAACCCCCCGAGCGGAAAAAGCAGCGGGCGCCATGCGCGATATTTTTCTACTGTCACGAGCGACCGCTCGTCCCAAATCCTGGACAGGACCATAGGGTCCTGGCGAACAGTGCGCGGATTAGGGTGTGTTCCGACCGCGAGATTATGCGGGAGAATCCGAGGCTCCCGATCTGTCCGGAGCCTGAAAATGTCTCGTCCTGTTTTAATATATAAGCCTTGAACTTAATGAAATTACATCGACGAACGTTACGTCAGCGAAAACACGTGGAGGAAATTAAGTGCGAAGAAGATCGAACGATTCCAGGAGGAAATCCCGTTGGGCACCCCGGAAATACTTATCGGCGATGCGGATTCATCTCTGGTGGATTCCCGAATATTACGATCGGGATGAACGGAGAACTTGAAATTAAGGTTTCCATCGTGGTGACGTGATGACGTGGCGCTCGACGGATCTTCGTAAAGAAAGATCCGGAGCCACGAACAACAATCGACTGATCGTGGGGGATTAAGTGTCTCGGGGAAGAAGAGCCGAGAGCGTTTCAGGGAGACCCGAAGACGCAAAGCTGCGAGTACTCGGCAAATATTTGAGGTGGACGACTTAACGCTAAGTCGAAGGATCAACTGACACTCGAAGGAAACGAGTCAAGTACGCGAAGCCCGAAAAGCGTCCCTCTGAGAGAGTGTAGGAAATGCAAAAATCATAATGGATCCGGCAATCCATCGGGGCGAAAGCACGAGAGAGATACGCCTTTCCGGAAGCCTCGTTTTCCCCAACTTCGAGTGCGCCGGCACTAATGACTCGTGTTAATAAGCGGATTAACCTTGACAATCCGCTCGACTGGAAGCAAATTACTGTGATACGAAATTACTGGGATATCATCGCGAGCCAATCACGCCGTTCCCGCAGGCGCCGCGCGGCTGATGAAGGATACATAAGAATTAGGAATACAGAAATCTCCGAATTCCCGTCTTCGAAGAGGCTTCCCAGCATTGCGACAGCTCTCTAACATCGTCGTCCCGGTGTGTCAACAGCATTAATAATCCACGCTCGCGGTCGAATTAATTCGGATGACGGTCTCTCTCTCTCTCTCTCTCTCTCTCTCGCGCGCGCGCGTGCGGAACAAAGAATCGGAGATCAGCTTGCCCTGTGAACGCGGTCCACAGGCACGGAGTGAAAAAACAGAACCGGGCGGAAACCGACCCACCTCCGAGCACACGCAAGCAAGACACCTGGGTTCGCGCTCCTCGGCATTAACAACCCCGGCGGTCCGTGTTACGCCGTATCCTGGACGACGATCGGGTTCTCACTGGAGTAATCACGGGCGAAATGACTATCTTCACGAGGCGATCACGTCGTTGGCGCGGTGTTCGCGGCCGATACGCAGGCGCGCGTGCACGTGCACACCTGCACACGGCAGCGCGAGGAGGGCCCGAGCCTCCGGGAAGCCGTCATCGCGTGTCGCGCGAAGATCATCCGCGGTGATCAGCCGCCGCAATCGCGGAACTCGACGGCCTCGACGCGCGAACGATGCTGCGTTCGATCCGCTCGACGGCTGGTGGCGTACTGGCCCTTCGTAAACGCACGCCTCCACCGAACGCGACGGTGGGTGAGCGTCGCGACGGGCAGCGGAAGAGGGCGGAAGCGGCGCCGAGAGAGAGAGCGAGGGTGGGTGCGATGCCAAGAGGGTGAGCGTCTCGCTTGGCGACCGCATCATCATCGCGATTTTCGACGGCGATATTTTACGGACCTCGCGGAGGATGGGGAGAGGGGGGGGGGGGGAAAGGGNGGGGGGGGGGGAGAAAGGGGATGAAACGAACGGTCGGACGAGCGAGCGTTCGGGACGGGTTGAGCTTCGAAATTTCGAAGGGTTTTTCTGTGTTTTACGCAACTGCGAAAACACAGAGACACACGGGCTTTTTTTTTATACGCTCCGCGATGGAAGCGCGGGGATGAAACAAACGGCCGAAATTATTTCAGCGTAGGTGAAACGGTAAGATACACCGGCAACTGAAATTCAGGTGGAATACATTTAAAATGATAATTCAGAATCTGAGGCGGAGGTAGAGAGTGTTTAGAATCTCGAAACAAGAGAGAGAGAGAGAGAGAGAGAGAGAGGGGGAGGGAGAGAGCTGAAAGTTGAAAATCGCAAATTGAAGAGCAAGTTGGTCGGGAGATATCGAGCATTACGAATTCCCGAAAAGCCGTTTTTCCTGCGACTTTGCAAGATTACACGCAAGAGTGAAATTGTATCCATTCTTAATTCACCGCTTTTAACAGTTAACGAGGCCGCCCGAAGCCCCTGCAGGAATCTCTAGATTCAGGGATATAGGTGGGACGCAGCGCTCCGCAATTTTACAAAGTTATGAAAGAAAGTCGTATCGGAGTAATATCGCTTATCGCGCGGCGGAAGAAGGGAAAATTTCCGAGTAGGCAAAAAGCGACCCCGAAGCAAATTTAGCGATAGTACGGTAATAAAATAACGCGTTGAACGTAAGCGAAGACGTATGTACCCCGGGGAATCCCGGTCGCGCGTTTCCCCGTTTCCTTGTCTCGCGTCTCCTCGCGTTTGGCGAAGTCGGCGAGCGCCGTTATAGAGCGAGTTATTATCGACGTCGCGACGTTTATTATTATTAATGGCAGCGCGACAAAACTTTCCTCGCGAAATCTCGCGCATCCGTCATATCGATGCCTCATCCATATCTGGATTCCGATACGAATGTTCCGAGTCAATTTCGGGAAATCTCAGCTTACTTTTACTCTCGATCGCTGTCAGTTATTGATAACGATGCGCGCACCGGCGAAACTTTTTTCGCATCCGTCTATACGGTGTATCGGAACGATCCGATGTATTTCTTCTCTTTCTCTCTCTCTCTCTCTCTCTCTCTCTCTCTCTCTCTCTCTCTCTCTCGCTCTCTCTCTCTTTCCGTCGTTTTCTCTCCGGCCTTTTTCCTGCAAAGCACCTGCAAAAAAATATAAAGTGAAATTCTGCACAACTTTCTGCAAAACAGGAAATATATAAAATTCACCTACTTGCTTCTTCTCTCCGTTTGATTCGGACACAGTCCTGAAACGCTTGACTTTTATCATGAGAACATTGACATGACAATCACAACCAATTGCGTCTGTTCAATATTTGATCCGTTTCAAATTAACCGCACAAATTTTAGGCCACCATGTACGATGTATCGCGCTCGATACACTTTCACGGATTTCGGGATCACGAATTTCTAACGTGCGTTAAATAATTCCAGCGAATGGAAGTCATATCTATTTATCATACGATTAATTTAATTTACTGCCGGACTACATTGTTTGTTTAATTAATTGTCCGTTCGTGCTGGTATGCACGCAATGACAGATATCGCGATATATCGACAGCCATCGCGGGCTTTACACCGCTAATATACACGTAAAATGTGTTCGCAATAATTGCTGCCCTCCGGTAAATCCCCAAATTTCCCCTCGGCTCTCACCTTTCATTTTTTTCGGAGCGGCTTCCCGTATTCCTCATTATTTACGAGGCTTCTTTCCAAATTCCTAAACTCTGCCTACTGCAGTTCAACGAACTCAACTCCCCGAAGTTTTCGAAAAATTAACGCACAAGACGAGAACGATCGGACGCAGAGCCCGCATCACTACGGAGCCTGATTAACGCAAAGCACCGAAAGTTTATACAAATTTTTGATAAAAAGTCGCGGAAAGTCGTAGGAAAGGAAAAAAGAAAGGAAAAACCCCGAAAAGCGAAATTAGCGAGCGAGTCGTCGATAAATCCGAAGGAGGCGCGGAGCGTTTGGTGGACGTTATTAATTCCTAACGAGCAAGTAATCGGTCGAAACTTCTTTAAACTCGTTCCCGTGGAACCGGAAAGCTGCGGAATTAACTCCGGAAATTCCTCGCCGCTCTCCGCAGCGATGTATTAACAATTTAACGAGCCGACACCTGCGATGGCTATTATAGCGCAATTATATGGAACGCGCGCCCCGTGCCGCCAGCTTGGACTACGAAGGACACAGTATAATCCTACTCGGATCTAAGGATCCCGGAAACCAAGGATTTACATGTCATGAAGTTGAATTAAATGAAACTCATTTGTCTGACGACTACGTAGAGGCAGTATCGTTATAATAACGTATTTGCGCTGTGAAATACGTCATTTTTTATAATTATTCCCCCGAGATTTAAAGACCTGAGATATGAAAAACTTCTACATTATGAAGTTGAATACGCAAAGTTTTTCTTTTCACCTTATATAACAACGTTACTGCTGTAAGAAGATCATTTCTTCTTTTTTTTACGTCATTGAAGTGTCCGAAGGTCTTGAGGCTCTCCAATCGTTTCGCTTTTATTAAAGTTTTAAAAATACAAGAAGTCCTAAGAATCGAAAGTTTTCAAGAGATCCTCAGTTTCAATATACGAAAGATTCCAAGTTCGGGGAATTCTAAAAACTGAAGTACATATGCTTAAGCTTTTACCCTTCGGGGATTTCTGTGTATCTTGAGATCCTTTAATTTTAAACTTACAGCCCCGCGAATCGGCGGATCACAGGGAAATTCATACATTTTCGGCTACAAAGGTTTAAATTCTGAAATCTCACAAGGATATATCAAGCTTTCTTCGTATTGAGATGCTTGAAAAGAGGGAAACTTTTCGAGGACGAGGACACCGAAAGAGGGCTGAACGTTAGGGGGTTAGGCAAGGCGACAGTTCAGTCGCGGGGTTATAAAAAGTAGTAATTCGCATGGGGTTCATAAAAATGTTTATCACCGTCAATAAAAGGGCTCCCTGGGCGGTGGCAGCGGCTCGGTGTCTTTTCTTCGGTATGTCTTCCTCGCGGAGAAGCTAAAAAGCGGGAACAAAGGGGACCCTGATTTTAACGGGGAAGCAGTCGATAAAATCCGCCGGCCATTGTTGTAACTTTTGAAAAGGTCTCAACGTTATAAAACGATTCAATTAACGGTACAGCACTATTTAATCAACATATCCGGCTTAAGAATTATTAACCGAAATACACCAAAAAATTCATACATATATATAACGCAATACTTTCTGCGAAAACTCAAATGTAAATGGCGCGATAATGTTACTTTTATACTTACATCTATAATCACTTCTATGTTGTAAATTAAAATAAAATTATACTGATAAAGCGAATATCATATAATATGCAGTCAGTTACCATTAATAATATTAAATTTTAATTAATATCATTAAAATACTTAACAAAATGTGTACGATATAATATTGTTGGATTTTTGAAAGATAAAAGTGTCATGTACAAAATTTATTCAATTGAGAAAGTTTGTTTCAATTAAAGAAATTTTATCAAATCCAAAGAAATCTTTATCTCCGTGTATGCATATCTCAACAGAAGATCATAAACACCTTGAAAAACTACGAAAATTATTTTAGAATCTGGAATATGCAGAATTCGCCCGCCTCTTCCCCTCCGGCGATCACAGCACAAGAGGATCGGTGGAACCAAAGTCGAAGAAGCGCCGACAGCCTGGAGTATCGTCTTATTATTCCTGAAGCTTGACTTCCAGTAAGCTCTGCGGCAAGCTTCACGGCACGTCCTTGCCGCAAACAAGCCTCCTTGCTACCGAAGCGAAAGCTCGAAGATAGCCACGAGTATCGACCATTCGGAGTATCGACTCCCGACCACCTACGATAATCAACGAGCCGATATAACGTCGCTTGGTATATGCACCGGCTTCGTTGGCAAGACGCGCGACCATGAACGCTAGAACAAGGATCGACACTTGAAAATAGAACGATAATAAACTTCGGGATACGCCGCGCACTTTCCCCAAGTACGTAAGAATATCAGGGGTACTCGGGGGGGGTGCGATGTCGTCAGTTATGTAACGTATAAAATTCTATAAACTCAAAGTCTATGAACTTGAAATTTCAAGATTACGAAGTTTCATGCACGCGCGTGTGAGAGTGAGGGTGTGTGCAGAAATTCAAACGTCAATTCAGAATACTGAGATCGAGCGCGGTTCTAAAGACACGAAATTCCGACCTCAGCTCGGAGTTGTGCGAAAACACACACATACACACAGGCACACAGCCGCGGGAATCAAATGTCCCGGCTGATGGGGGCTTAAATCGCCGGGCGAAATTCCTCGATACACCTCGTTTCGAGTCTCCAGATGTTCCCTTGGATAATTCAAACGCAGGGCGATTATTCATCCCCCGCCGATGCCGCGCGATTTTTACGCGCGCGTCGAATCGACGTCGTCGTACCTGGAAGGGCCAATTTCGAAAATTACTCCCACCGAACGGCCGGGGTGGGAACCGTTCCCCTTTCCCTTGTCGCCCCTTTCACGTCGTTGCCGAATTACCGACCCTGCGTCCTGTGAGTGACGTTATCACGCTGCATTTCGTGCATTTGATGCATCCGGTGGCTTCATGCGGGGCCACGGGAATGTCTGGCCGAGACAGCCGAGTCAGTGCATTCGATATTCCATATTGCGTTTCTGCTTACCAACAGGTACGCCCCGTTGGCTCGCCATTCGTATTCATCCTCCGGCCGCGGAG